TTCTTCAAAGACCTACTGTTTCTTTGTGGCCTAATTTAACTCTTCTTCACACTCCCAATGTTTTACTTGGAAATATCACACGCAGGAGGGTTGCCAGAGGTTCACACGGTAAAATGTAATTCGTGCAGTGTTGGAAAGGGGCTGTGGTGGACATTCCAAGTACTTAGACAGCAGGTCCATGGGTGTGATTGGCAGTCTCATGGCCAGAGACTTCGTGTCTGGTCCAAACGTTTTCTGGAGTGATTTCATTTTATCCTCACAGTGATCTTTATGAACTAGGTGCTGGGCCTTCTTGTCCCACTGAGGCACACAGCCTATGTCCTGAACTTGAAGGCCTTAATTTGCACAGCCGAGGTCTGCGCTCACTCCCCAGGCCCACCTTGCATGCAGATGAGGAGGAAAGAGAGTCTATGGCGTCATTTTCCTAGGGCCCATTTCCTCTGGTTACAGTGTCTGGCTTCTGTGAAGCAGTCAGAAGGTGCACCTTCTGGGAGGTACAAAGCCTTTATAAGGCCAGGATTGGTAGTGCTGCTTAGACCAGAAGCTCTGGGAAGTCCAGGTTGCATAGAGAAATGCTATTCTAGACAGGTGCTCCCCTCACCCCAGGCACGTTTGGTAGGTAGCTATTTGCTCTCGAAGTGACCAGTACTGTGCTCCCTTCAGTCCTCGTTTTCTGGTGGCACCCCACATTAGAGTGCACACCACTCTGGAGGGCTGAGGCTCAGGAAGAGCCCTTGTGGAATCCCGTAGCCTTGGATTCGTGTGTGTCAGGGATGACGATACTGTTCCCATATCATGACAAGTGACAAGGGCTGTTCAGTTTGACAGTGGGAATCAGTGGGGATGCACTTTTAGTAGGGTATGGAGGGTATGGAGAGTGTTTACATCCACTTCCTACCTGGCTTGGGTTTTAAAAATCTCTCTTATTTGGTTTAAGTGTAGTGATTTTGAAGAACACAGGCTATGTTCTGATCCACTGTGTGCCACTGTCCTAGTCAGTTTTAGCTATCACTTGACACAGCCTAGGGTCATCCGAGAGCAAAGCCTTCACTGAGGGATTTCCTGATCAGATTGGCCTGTGGGCATGTCTGCAGGGAGGCATCTTAATTGGTAATTGATGTGGGAGGTCCCAGCTCACTGTGGGCAACACCATCCCTAAGCAGGTGGGCCTGGGCCGTGTGAGAGAGCTAGGTTACCGTGAACTTGTGACCCAGCCAGGGAGTGGACATGTTCCGGGCCCTCCCTTTACTAAGTTTGGGGAAGTGTTTTTCAGCTTGCATAGGTCTAGAGACAATCAATGAAGTTCTAATAAACAGTGAATTCTATAGAATAGGAAGATTTCATAAAAATTCTTATTACATTTATGTATGGGTGTGTGCATGTATGTGGAGGTGCATGTGTGAATACATACCTGCCATTCAGAACATGTAGAGGTCAGAAGACAGCTTTTGTTCTCCTTCAACCAGGTGAGTCCCTGGGATCAAACTCAGGCTGTCAGGCTTTGTGACAAACACTTCTACCTGCAGAACCATCTTACTGGCCCCTCGTTTTTCTTTAATAGGCCTTGTTCTCTGTTTAATGAAGAACAGTAATTGGTTTTTAAAAAGATTTATTTTTTAAAGTTTTAAAAAATTATGTGTGTGTGTCGGGGGGGCTCTGAATGTACAGGACCAGAAGGGGTGTAGAACCCCCTAGAGCTGGAGCTACAGGTGGCTATGAGCCACATGACATGGGTGCTGAGAACAGAACTTGTGTCCTTCGCGGGAGTGGCCAGTGCTTTTAACTGCTGAGCATCTCTCTAGGCCCCAGGAATTTGTAAAGCTTGTTTTCTTCCACACACTGTCTCCCTTGGAGTTTAGTTGCCATTAAAATGGGAAGAAATGTGCACTTCGCTGTGTGTTACCTCTTTTCTGTGATAAAATACACACATTGTCACTTCTACATCATGAAAGGATCAAGAACTATTATCAAAGTCCAACTGCTTGGGTGCTAGATTAATTTTTAAAAATAAAAAATGTGGATGTGGTCTCTTTCCATTTAATGGAATAGTAATTACAAAGTTTTACCTCGGCCTTTCTCATTCAGGGGCTTGGGGAGTGCAAACAGAACCCTGTTGACACAAGAGAATTGACAGAAATGTGGTTATCCTAACTGTTCATCTTAAGTAGAAGCCCAGCTGTTTGTAGGGCAACCTGCTGTCTGCAGGCGAGCCCCCGTGGACCTGCGGGGCCCTCCCAGGTGCACCTTGCTTCCTTTCACTCTGACGTAAGACTGAGTTGCCCTGTGCCATCTGTGAGGAAAACAACAGGCCCATCAGAGTTCTGTAACTCTAAAGAGGCTGTCACCTTAGAAGATCTGCCTAGTCGATCACATAGCCAGGCAAGGTGGCACATGCATAAAATCCCAGCACTTAGGAAGCAGAGGGAGGGGGATCACGGCCAGTTCAAGGACAACCTAATTTGTGTTTAGAGCTCCAGGTCAGCCAGAGCTGCATAGTGAGACTCTGTTTCAACAAACAAAATAGCAACAGCAACAAATCAATTATATTGTGGGCAAAGCGAAAGTGTGCCACTGAGAGTTCAGTGGTAAGACCCACCTGACTTTCTTCTTCTGTGCTGTTTTAAGTAGAAAGCACTGGGGTTTACAAAACCCTGAAAAGCAGCAATCCATTTCCACTGAGTTACGGTGAAATGAATGTGGACCATTTTAACAGGCAAGCTCATGCCAGGGAATGTGGGGAGCCGCCTGCCGTCCCTGCAGACGCCATTACAAGATGGCGCTCACATCCGGTTCATGCTGAGCAGTAAATAAGTCAGTACGCATGCCCGAAGTAATTTTCCACCTTCTAGTCTCTGCCTACCTCGTGGCGTGATATGGGCTGATGAGTTTGCGACCAATCAAGAGTTGCCACGTCCAAGACGGGCTTACTAACCTATATAAGGGCTGGGTTTCCGACATTGGGGTCTTCGCCCTGTAAGCTTATGCTCTCCCTCTCAAGATGCATTAAAGCTTTTCTGCAGAAGGATCCTGAGTGTGCCGCGTCGTTCTTGCTGGCGAGACGATAGCGCGGGACAAGGGAAAAGTTAAGAGCATGCCTCTGCGAGCTGAACACTTTGAAAGATAATATTCCCCTGTCCAGAGCTGCCCCATCTCCCTCTGGGTGACTCACCTGTCTCTTGGCTCAGCCCTCTCCCTTAGAGAGAGAGACGATGCTGGGTAAGCCTATTCAAGCACATGGTTGTCAGAGCCCCTGTGCACTACCACAGACTGCTAAAGAGAAACCTCTTTCTGGAGTTTTCCCCTTCTCCACCCCCACC